AGAAAAGCACACGGCTCCCCAGGCAACACGCGCTCTGCGGTGAGCAGGAGATCTGGGGGGTCAGGGTTTACCTTCAAAAGCGCTGTATGAAAACCAAGAGATTTTGTAATCTTCCATGGATTTACAATATAGGCAACTTAGTAAAACGCAGTAATAATTTGTGAAGCCTGTACCTGATTTTATTTATCCAAAATGAAAGCCGTGCTGAGTTCCTACAATGTTTACAAAATGAAAGAGCTATTCATTCACTAAAAAGATGCCGCTCTCCGCCTTGTGACCTGAATAACAAACAAATCGGTACCAAGTCAAAGAAGACACTCCCTCGAAATTCCAGGGAACAGATGGAACATTCCAGAAAGCGCGTAGGGCTGGCCCCCGGAAAGCTGCCAACCCAGTGCTGGCTCGGACAGTGGCTGCGTCCGTTTAATTCCCCATTGTTCACGCAGCACGTCTCACCGTGTGCCCACTGGGCTGGTGCAGAAGGCAGACATCAGACAAAGAAGCCGTCACACGAAAAGTGTTTGGAAAGCCCAGCAGAAGGTGCCGTGGGAGCCTATGACCAGGGCGTGCAGCCTGGAGGGCCTCCCGGAGGAGGTGAGCTTGGAGCTGGCGCCAGAGGGATGAGTAGGACTCAGCCGAAGACAGCAAGGGCCACAGAAACGGAGGAGGCGCCCCAGGAACTTAACTCCGGCTTGTAGCCCTCAGCCTGCGGTCAGGCGGGCTTTGTTTCACACCATTTTGTGTGAAGTCGCAGGACCGGTCAACCATGTTCCGCGAGGACTTACGGTGTCCCCAAGTGTCTTCGAGTCAGGAACCTGCATGAATGGCCCCATGTAACCCTCCCGACAGCCACCCGAAGGGGCTCGTCCCTTCTTTGCACTGTGCGGATGGACAAAGACACAGCCTGAGCGTCGTGCCCGGCGCGGCTGGCAGGCGGCGCTCTGACGTGGGGACAAAGGCTGTCTGGCTTCGGGATCAACAGGCTTCCTGGCTGACCGGCTGCGCCCCGACCCACAGAGCCGTGCGCCAGAGCTTGGTACATCCTCACGTTTCCATCCTCTTTAAAAACCGAGCTGAACAAAAAACCCCTGGGCATAGACCCAGCGCCTCCTGATGGCTGCGCCTTCTCAGCAGGGCGCCCTGGCCCCAAACCCCCCGCGCCTGCCGGCCCGCCCTCCCCGCTCCGGGAAAACCTAAAAGCTAAAAGAACTGCTTAATACCAGACAGGTCCAGGCGGCGCCTGCTTCTCGTCAGACCCCCAGAACAAAGCAGGCCCCTCTCTTCCCGGCATTCCTCAGCGCACGGGCCCTCTCCTGTGTCCATGAGCGAACGAGGTCACGCCCGGGGCGCAGCGTGGGCCCACAGGCACGTGCAGCCTGTGCCCCTTGGACCACGTATGTCTCCCCCGCACCGGGCCTGTCTCTTCCGGCTCAGGGACGGCGGTGGTGTGTTGCCCTGTTAAGTTCTGCCTGTGCAGTTTGATTGCACTTTGTTCGTCTGGGTGCACAGCTGAATCTCAAACCAGCAGCATTAGCAGAGCCGGCGCCGCTGCTAACTGGTGCAGGACCCGAGCTCTGCACACAGCGAGCGTGGCCTCAGATTGTGGACTCTGCTGGAGGAGCACGTTTGAGAAAAAGAGAAAAACTCGTTCAACGTGAAACGCGGGGAGCACCTCCGGCAACGCTGGAACGGAGGTGGGGGGTCGCGCTGAGTCACGGCCGAAGCTGCCAACAGCCCTGCTGTAGCGCAAGACTCCAATGTCACGGCTGGTCCGGTGCAAAGGGCAGTTCTCTGCCAGCTAAGGAAGCCTGCTTTACGCCAGTGCCCTTTTTCCTTTCATGCAATATTTACACGATTTTAAAAAATGGACCTTAAGTGACATTACCATAGTTCTGGGGAGGTAATTACACGTATAGATTTAACGTCCCAGGAAAGACGGCTCTCCTGACGTGTCAATGAGGGCACGCCCGTCCGGCCGCAGCCTCGAACCCACGGCCCCAGGGCCCTTCAAACCAGAGACCGCCTCCCAAGTCCTCTTGGGTGGTCCGTTCCGTGTGCTCAGAAATCGTCCCAGTGGGGACCCCAGGGCATCTCTGATTCATCCGAAAAACCTCCACCTCAACATGACAGGCAATCCATCCCTCCTGCGCCGCACGGAGGGGGAATCCTGCGCCACGGCGGGGCCGCAGTACACAGCGCGCCCGCCGTGAGCCAGGTGGTGTGGGCTGAACAGCGGCAGCGCTGCGTCTGAAGTCAGGGCACGTGGTCGAAGCCCCCCCCCCCCCACCCGGGTCGATTCCGAATGAACGCCTTCCTGCAGGGTCTTGGCCACGCGACGGGCCGCCGGCGTCCGTGCGCGCCGACGCCCACAGACGTGACTCCCAGAGAGAAACGCGGTGCCGCGCCCTCTCACAGGAGCCCCATATTTCCCACCTTCCCTGAGCCCCCGAGGTCAGTGCCTCTGCCAGGATCGGCTCACGAACACACGTCCAAGGAGAAGGGAGCATCTGTGAGCAGGAGCTCAGAGCAAGGAAACGCGCCCCGTCTTTCCCATCAAGACACTATTCAACTCCTTCCTTTTCCACTCAGACAGTGATCGCCAGGAGAGGGGCCGGAGCTTGTGAGGATGCCTTTCAAAGGCAGCCGAGAATTTCCTTCGGGAGAGACCATGGCCCAGCTGTCACCTGCTTCTCCTTTCTCGTCCTCAAAATCCCTGCGGCTGGGCGCACGCGGGGTGTCTGTCAGCGCCAACCCCTGTCCCAGCTCCCTGAGTCCCAGGCCAAGCGCCGCCGGCTCTGCCCTCCGCTGTGGCCCCTGCGGTGGGTGACCCACGCCGACGTGGCCAGGAGGCGTCCACAGGAGCCATCCTAATCAGCAGAGACAGCGCCCGGCACTCTGGCGACAGGCAACGCAGAGAATCATTGGAAAGAGCCAAAAATAGGGTTATTCACTCAAAATTTCTAAAGGTCCCCTTCCCTGCTGATCTAAATTCAAAGCGTCTCAATGACGCGTGATTTTGAGACAAGTGGGACTAAAAATAGGGACGTGGAGAGGTTCTCTCACTGGGGAGGAAATGACCCGCCTGAAGGGCGCATCCTGGTCCAGGCCGGCTCTGAGGGCCGCCCCACAGCGTCCCTGGGACCGGGCGCGGCGGGGGAGCGCGGCAGGGCCCGTCCCCTCGGGGAGGGACAGCGCTCGCCACCCCGAAAGCCGGCCCGCTCGATACTCAAAGACCCACAGCCCCTTCCCCACCAAGCGGACAGTGAATGGCTTCCAGCTGACCAAAGACACCCTTAGAAACTGAATTTTTAAAACTATACATTTCCTCAAAAGGTTAAACACAGGGTTGCCAGGTGACCCAGCAATTCCCGAGAGCAGGGAAAACAGACACTCGCACCGTAACAAGCACACGCACATCCGCAGCTGCGCTCACGACAGCCGAAGGGCCGGAGGACCACGTTCCCACCACTGAGGACCGGGCGGCCCACCGAGTGGAGGGTCCCCGGCCGCGAGGAGGAGGGCGCACGGACGCTGCTCCGCCGCGGCTGCAGACGCCCCGCACGGAAGGCCACGGGCCGCTGTGTCCACGCACAGGAAACGCCCCCAACAGGCGAACACACAGCGGCAGAGAGGAGAGGCGGCGCCTGGGACCCGTGGGAGGCGGGAACGGGGCGCGAACAGGCTCCTTCTTAGGGTTATGACAATTCTCTAGGATTGCATCAGCAGGGGGGTGACCCTGCTCCGTGAATTTACTACAAACTCCCCCCACGGTATCCTTCACGATGGGGAGTTTCACGGTACATGAACTGTATCTCAATAAAAAACTTAAACATGCGTGTGGATACACACCCAACCTATTTAATGCTTTGATCTCGCTTTTTAAAATGAGAATCCACCAGCCTTGGCGGGTGTGGCTCAACTCGTGGGAGCATCAACTGAAAGGTCGCCGGTTCGATTCCCGGGTGGGGTTCGTGCCTGGGCTGCAGGCTCGGCCCTCGCCTGGCACGCGAGCCAGAGGCAACCGATCCATGTTCCCCGCACGGATGTTTCTCTCCCTCTCTCCCCGTCTCTAAGCACGTCCTTGGGTGAGGGTTATAAATAAATAAGTAGAGAAATACATAAATCAGAAAGAATCCTCTAAACACGAGCCCGACATTTTCTCCACCACCGAGTCCTTACGGTTGCAATACCGCGAAGACAGAACCGCGCTGTATTGGAGCGGCGAGCGCCTCCTCGGGAGGAGAGGGGGCGCCGTGTTTCCGATGTAACTGCAGTGCAGGGCTCCAGGCAGGAGCCCGCCACCGGCGCCAGCGTGACCGACACTGCGGTTCCCCCCACTTTCCTTGGGGGGCTCCGCCTCAGGGGGAAACCGGCTGTTTTTCTAAAAATGTCTGATTTTCACAATTATTTGCAAGGCTAGTTTGGCTCCTGGGTGACACACGTCACTTTTAAAGGCCAGTTCACAATTCGAACGGCGATTCGGCTTCACTGAAGAAAAGAGCCACAGAGCGACAGCCACACAGAAGGCAGACAGGAGGGCAGCGCCCCGCCCGGCACCCGCTGGAACAGCCTCCGGCCACCGTCGCGCCGGTGCCTCTTCAAGCCCCTGCGCAGCAGCTGGTCTCGGTGCTTCGCCAATAATGAGAGCAGCAACCCAAATACCCCGTCCCTTACTCTGGACCAAACGCCCTTCCGAGCTTTTCCCACAGACTCACTCACTACATTCGCCATCGTAACCCGGACACCAGCCACGGGCCCAGCATCATCCTTATCCCCACTTCACAGAAGGAGAGACCAGGGCTCAGAGCGGCTAAGCAACTCCGCCCGGGGCCACCGGCTGAGAAAGGGCGGAGCCGGGATGCAAACTCAGGCCTCCGCCCTCAGATGCCTCGGCTCACGCCCCACACCCTCACACCCGACACCGGCCTCACTCACAAAGCAGCTGCGCGGGACACAAACGCAGGCGCGTCAGGAAGCACGCCCCAGCGGCCGGCGCTCACCTGTGGACCACCCCGGCCCGGTGCAGGTGCTCCACGGCGGAGATGAGCTGCCGGATGTATCTGCGGGCCTCGGGCTCCTCCAGCCGCTTCTTCTCGTAGATCTTGTGCATCAGGTTGCCCCCGGGACACAGCTCCATGACCAGGTAGTAGCTGTTCTCCGTCTCCAAGATGTCGAGCAGCTGCGTGATGTTGGGGTGGCGGATCATCTGCTGGATCTGCCCCTCCCGCCGAAGGTTTTTGGTGACGTAGGTGTCCTTCTTGGCTCTCTTCTTGTCGATGACCTTTATGGCCACCTAGGGAGACAGCGAGAACACAGCTGTTGTCAGTCACTGCGGGCAAAGGCTGCTCCCTGACTCCACACAAGAACCGAGGAAAACGCGCAGCGACTCCGCGCACCAGCAGAGACACGGTCTAAGATGGGCCTTGAGGGAAAGAGAGAAAAGCGTAGCATCAGCAAGGACCAGAAGATTCAAGCCATCAAGGAAGAGAGTAAAATTTACTGAAGCACTCGGAAGGCAGAATGGGAGGCTCCGTGGAGGGTCAGCGTCCAACGTGGGTCTCCAGGGTGAAACACCACGGTCTCAGCGGCCAAGGGCCTCCCCCCGCCCCCAGGCCTCGTCGTGCTCCGTCCAGGGTGGGCCCTCTGGCCTTCACCGCCCGTTGACGTGCGGGGAGCCCTGTCTGCTATGGGCCTCTCTCCCCGTCCTGCCTCCCCGTGCAGGATGCCACCGCCCGGCTCACCCAGGATGTTGCCGCCCGGCGCCGGACACACCGCCTCTCTGCGAGGCTCGGCAACCGCGGGACGTCCGTCCCCAGGCTACCGAGCCACCTGGGCGCAGGACAAACAGTGGTCTTCTCATTTCCACTACATCCTTTTTTTATAAGCACATTTGCGATGGTTTCGTAAAGCACTCAATATAGTAACACGGAAGGGTGACGCAGGCCAATAACGGGCAATGAGTAAACGGCCGATACAAACACACAGACACGTCTGCAGGGAGAGACTCAAGTGCCGTCGTCTTCACTCAGGTTTGTGACAGAACAATAAAAGCCTGGCCGCCACCAGCCAGGCCCACGCACGTCCGCCCCCGACGCGCAGCCTGACCCCTTGCAGTTTCTACGCTCCACCCCGGGACCCCGGGTCTGCAGCTCTGACCTCTTGCTTCCAGCAATCGGGGTCCCGGCTGCACACAGGGCCAGGTCCCCACCCCCCGCCAGCTCGGGCCCTTCTCCGGCAGCAGCCCCCGGACGGTACTTTCCCGCCCCCTGGCTCCCAGGCGGGTGGCCTCACGCCCCGCGACACCCAGTCAGTTTCTCTCCACGCGAAGCCCCCAGGCCTTCGGACACGAACTCACATCCCACCTCCCCGCTGCGGACAGCCCCGTAACTGTCCTTCCTTACGTCCCCGCCTCCCGCGCCATCGGTGACACCGTTTAAAGCCCTTGTCCCTTAACACACGGACCAGCTCCCTGCTCGTCACACACGTCCTTCACGGACAGTAAGTGACCAGCCGATGACTAAGGGAGCACATCACTGAGCCCTTCTTTTTTTAACACTGAAGCAAAACAGCTATAAACGCTTAATTCCTCTCTTTTGGAAAACAGTCTCTTTTGTTAACTGAGATATAAGCGACATGTAACATTGTATTACTTTTCATTGTACAACGTAACAATTTGCTGTGTGTGTACCCAGGCACCCGACTCTCACAGCCGGGCCTGTTAACGGCCCTTGCCACGCACAGCTGCCCGTCTGTGCGTGCGTAACGAGGACTCGTAGGGCCTTCTGACTCGGCAGCTTTCAAATGACACACCACAGTGTCGCTACCCACTGTCACCATGCTGTTGGGACGGAACTTATCGTCTAACCGGGGGCATCTTTACCATCCTCATTCATTTTCATGGGAATTTTCAGGCCCCAAATCCAAAGATAGGACGCAGGGGAGACTGTCTGCCAATGGGGCCAGTCTGGGGGCGGGGGGCGCTGCACTGTCCCAGGTCAGCCGGGGGCCACCGCCGCCCGCCCACAGGAGGGAGTGACGCGGTGGCTGTAGCTGGGCCCCAACTAGTTCAATAGCTGCCACACTAAGCCCTGAAACCGTGCTTGAGCACAGCCACGCGCACACCCAGACACACACACTCACAGACGCTCACACTCACACACCCATCGCGGGGGGCGGGGGGCGGGGGGCGGGCGGGGAGGAAGAGGGATGTTGAGGATCACAATCAGATTCTGCCTTCGCTTTAGTCTGTGTTGCAGTTTTTAAAATTACACCCTTTGGCAACAGAAGAATAAACAGTCGCCTGAGAGCCCAGCAGTAATATGATCTGCCTTTTTAAACAGAGCACACAACTGTCAGGAGGATAATTCATTTAGCTCTTTAACTGCCTGCAGCAGGGGGCAGCCACCCAAAGACATGGAGGCCCCGTCCCTGGGGCGTGTGAACAGGCCTCCTCCGGAAAGAGGAGGGAACCTGAGGCGTAGCACAGGTGTCCCCTCCAGCCACCTCCGGAGCCCTCAGGCTGTGGGCACTCACACCAACGCGGGGGCGGAGTGGGGGCCGAGGCGGCGGCGACAGGCCACCCGCCGGGGCCACCGGGGCTGGAAGAGGCCGAGGGCGAGGTCCCCCGGGGCCTGGGGGTGGGGAGGAGCACGGCCCTGCCGTCACCTGAAGCTGGGTCCACATCGGGCCCCGGCCGCCAGAACCGTGAGCGGGCAGTTTCTGCTGTTTTGTGGTACTTTGTTACCGCGTCACAGCGCACAGAGCTCACCAGCACGCGGCTCGCAACCGTAGGAGCGCCCCGGGCTGAGGAACGGCAAAAGGCTCAACTCCGGTCAAAGGGGCAAATAAAGCAGGAAGAAGCAGCGCTGTCTCGGGCCCCACGTTACCTACACAATCACTGACGCAAATGGATGAGCAAAAAGGAGGCTTTAAGCAAGTTTAGGGTGGTGCGTTGGGCCACATCCACAGCCCCCGGGCCACATGTGGCCCGCAGGCTGGACACCCCTGTTGGGCAGCAGGCAGGGCCGGGAGACCCTCCACGCCCAGCCCAGGGGACTCCGGGGCCACCGTCACGGGGCCGTCCGCCCTGACTCCAGCTCGGATTCCCAAGGCAAATCCCGTCCCAACACCAGGAGAACAGCCTGCTGGGGGGAGCCCAGGAGCTGGCTCCTGCAAGGAAGCAGGACGCGTGGCGGAGGGTTCCCAGGCGACAACGGGCCGCCTTCACACAGCCGAGGGAATTCTCACCAAGCTGTCCACTTGGCTACAGCACGTGCGCTCCAGGGCGTACTGATCATCCCCAGGGACAAGGGGAAAAAGTGGCCCCAACCCCCTGCTCAGTAGGAAGTTACCGCAACTCAGGGATCCCCAGCACAGATGAGGGACAAGGTAGACAGGCCATGGTGGGATCCTTTCTTTGGTTTTGGTAAAGGGTCAAAAAGGCCCGTACGCAATTCATCTTGGTACGCACCCCCACCCGCTACCCCCACGGTTGGCTCCTGAAGCCCCAGACACATTGAATCAATAAATAGGTCAGTTTAAAAACTGAGCGCCCGAGCGTCCCGGACACCCCTCAACCCCAGCCCCGCGGCAGCCCCTCCTGCTCCAGCCTCTTCCCGTGTGGCCACCTGGAAATTAGCGAGAATGACGAGGCGGACTGCACACCATCGAAGCACAGACCCAGCCATAAAAGCCAAGGCAGCCGCCCCTGTCAACACTCCGGGAAGACCTCCCCGGGGACGGCCCACCCTGCTCCTCACCGTTCTCCCCTGAGGAAGCCTCTGTGCTCCGGCCCCGTCCCGGAGGGGCCTTCGTCCCTGCCCGCCGACCCCCTGGCCACCGGCACGGCCAGCAGGCCCCCCTCCCCGGAGGTTCCACGGTCTTCTTTCTAAGGCCGGTAACGAATATCGCCTGTGCTCAGAAGCCTCTGGAGGAAACTCAGCCCCTTGGCGAGAAATTGAAGACCCCTCAAGGTCTGACACACCGCCCCGCAATCCCCGCGTTTTTATTTTTTAAGAAAAAAGGAATTCTGTTTCCCATGTGAAAGAGCATGCTCACTAACCGTGAGAATAACGTTTCAAATTCGGAGCTGTCTTTCTTTATTCTCGGGGGAGGGGCCCTGCGGTGGCAGGTACGGCTCTCCTTTGGGGCTCCTGTCCTGTGAATCTGAGTCAAGCGCTTGTCACCCAATTCTTTCATGGAAATCAATGGCGCTTTGTTGGTCAGAACGAGGCTGGAAAGATGTCAATCCCATCTTCCACGGCTGCAACCTCACCTCCCCGCTCCGCCAAAAAAAATCGGACCCTTTGATCATTAGCACAATTTTTTAAGTGGATCGGCGGTGATAACCTCATTGTGTTGAACACGTTTTTATCACGACAGAGAAAAGAGCGACAGCAGGAACAGTATTAAGAGCGTGCGCTATAATTAGGCTGGGTCTCCGCGATCCAGATCAATCAACCAATCAATGCAGGCCCCTTAAGCCCCGTAAATGTTCAAACTGGCTGGGGAACCACGTAAGGATCCAAGTTTTCTAGTTCCGCTGTCCACAAACATGAAGTCAACAACCACGGCCATTTCTCTGTCCCCTGCGGAGCGTAGAAACCAACACCGTGGCCCGGCCCCCCTCAGCCACCGAGCCATGCCCACCTCAGAGCTCGTCCCACTTCCTGACGGCCCACAGGCAGGACGCGGCGGGTGCACCGGAGGCGGGTCCTGTCACATTCCTGCTTCCCAAGGGGACCCTTGGGCGACAGGGGCACGCCCACCGGCCGCGCAGCTGGGCCACGGCGCAGCCTGGGCTGGACCTGGCCCGCAGCTGAGCCGCTTCTGGCCGGGGCTCCCCAGCAAGTTCTTTGGTCTAGTTGGCCACTCGGGTTCACACAAACCACAGGCAAATTACTCATAAGCCACGTGTCAATATCCTAGAAATGAGCAAAATGTGAGTACCTTGGCGGACGGTCCTCATAATTTCATATCCCTAAGTATGTCCCTTAAGAAACTCGAGTGGAAATTTAAAACTCTTGATTCGAGGCTGTAGAAATAAACATACCGAGCAGACAGAAGTCGCTCCTGGGATTTCTGAATGTTGCTGACTTAGCAATTGATGCAGCTGCTCGTGCACGGAATCAGACAGCACGCGGCGCGTACAAACGAGGACGCACCAGGAGCTCGCGGGCGGCGCGAGTTTCCTTGCGGAGAAGGAGATGGGACCAGGGACTCGCAACAGAGCAGACGGCGGCGGGGCGAGGGGTGAGAGGGGTGCCAGGGAGAAAACCCGGGTTCCTCCCGCAA